CAGTGAGCAGAGCTTGTTAGGGACAGGTGTGACAGTGAGCAGAGCTTGTTAGAGGCAGGTGTGTCTGTGAGCAGAGCTTGTTAGGGGCAGGTGTGACAGCGAGCAGAGCTTGTTAGGGGCAGGTGTGTCTGGCTGTTGCACCACCTTCTAATTTTCTCATCCTGGTCATTTTTAAAAGATACGCCAAGAAGGATTGCAGAGGTTTACATATCCTCCAGAGACCACAGAGGAACCCGATCCAGAAAATGCCTTTCCACCCATCGAGGTCACACTGGAGGTCCGTGAGAACGTAATCTTCTTTGAGGATCCCAAGGTCATAAGGTGGGATGCAGAAGGTACAGCCATGCCTCAGCCAGCAAGGAGGGTAATGCAAGTGACCACATCAGGTGGCCCTCCCTCCCTCCCTCCCTCCCTCCCTCCCTCCGTCTTCCATGGTTTTGAGACAGGGTCTTGTAAAGCCTGACTGGGTCTCCAACCCAAGGTGTAGTCAAGGATGGCCCCAAACTTCTGATCTTCCTGCTTCTACCCCTCAAAGGCTGGGATGGAGCCCACGGCCTCGAAAGCTGGGAGGTGCTGTACCCTCTGAAATTCCAGCCCGAGCTTGTGTAGTTTGCACTTGTTATTGGCCTGTCTAGGCGGAGGGGCATGTGCACACCACAGCACTCACGGGGGTCAAATCACAGCTTACAGGAGTCACTCCTCTCCTTCCACGCCGTGGGGTCCAGAGATCCAAACTCACCATCAGGCTCGGCACAAGCACCTCTAGCCACCAAGCCACATCATGCCAGCCCAGAAGAGTCACCTTAAGAGTGCCGCTGCTAATTATTTATCTCATCAAACCCACACTGACCGGAGGGAAGGCTTAGCGGGCACAGCGCTGCCTACGCTGGCAGGAGAACCCGGGTTTGAATCTCCAGAGCCCGTGGAAAGCCAGGCTCACGGCACACATCTCTACCCCAGGAAAGCCGGGCCCCGCGGCACACATCGCTCCGTGGAAAGCCGGGCCCCGCGGCACACATCTCTACCTCAGGAAAGCCGGGCCCGCGGCACACATCTCTACCTCAGGAAAGCCGGGCCCGCGGCACACATCTCTACCCCAGGAAAGCCGGGCCCCGCGGCACACATCTCTACCCAGGAAAGCCGGGCCCCGCGGCACACATCTCTACCCCGTGGAAAGCCGGGCCCGCGGCACACATCTCTCCCCCAGGAAAGCCGGCCCCGCGGCACACATCTCTACCCTGTGCTCTACAGTGAGGTGGGAGAGGGAGACCAGAGAGCCCCAAAATCTCACCCGCTAGTCAGCTTGGCCTGCGCGGTTGACAATGAGGGACTCTGCCTCAAGCAAGGTGACAGCTGAGGACCAACACCTGAAGTTGTCCCCTGATCTCCACGTGCAGCCACATGCAGCCACGTGGCAAGGAATGTCACCTGTTTCTCAACATGACTGCACATTTTTCAAGTTCTGTTCATGTCACACCCTCTGGCTGACACTCGTCATCGCCTGTCTTGTGTGTATGATGTGGTTCTGAACAATGGTTCTTTTTTGTTTACTAATGACCAGTGCTGGACATTTTATGTGGTAGACTTGCATCATCCTGTTTAATGAAATGTTTATTTGAATCATTTTTCACTAAGTGATTTTTTTTTGTTTGTTTGCTGAGGCCCAGAATGGCCTTGAGCTAAGCACATAGCCCTCAAACTGATGAGCCTCCCACCTCCGTTTTCCAAGTGCCGGATGCTACCATGGCCAGGGCGTCCCCCACTTCTAAACTGGATCTTCTTTATTGACTTGTAAGAGCCAAAGCATGCCACCTACTGTATGAGAGCATTTCTGTGAGGTGTAGACAGGAACATCTTAGAGGTGAATCTGGAAATGGACATTCAAGGGAGTGCACACAGGGGCTCTTGTTGGGAGGGGTTTAAAAACTCATTGCATCAGGGACATGGCTCCGCAGCGGCATCCACGTCCTCAAAGCAAGAGTGTGCGCTTATAAACAGGAGCATTTACAGCTGTTGAAACAGAAGTGAAGGGGCTGGAGAGAGGCTCAGTCGTCAAGAGCGCCTGCTGCTCTTGCAGAGGACCCGGGTTCTATTCCGAGCACCTGCATGGCCACTCATGTTAACTCCCGTTCCGTGAGAGCTGGTGCCCTCTGCTGGCTTCTGTGGGCATTGCATGCAGTTGGCCCACATACATGCATGTAGGCAAAACACATAAAAACATATAAAATAAATAACAAACTTGGAAACGATCCCTGAAAGTATAATTGTAAACAAAAATAAACTATAAAAAATAAAGCAGGTGAAGACCCTCTGTGTAAGGCTAGGGAAGGCTGGCGGCATGCCAGGCAGGAGGGGGGCTGAAAACAGGCGTGAGAGGTGGCACGGGACAGTGTTGTGTGGAACATGCTGGAGTTTGGACTGGACCTTGGGGGCAGGGATCTCCCAGCAGGGGGACCTTTTCCTTGAGAGTCTTAATACAGAAAACCCCTTAGTGCACAGCACATGGACTTAGCTGTTTTTAATTCATTTTTATAGGAAAGACATGAAACTAATGTCCCATCTTCTGTTATGAAGGTAAAATCTGGAAAACAGATGGCATTAGCGAGGTTTTTTACAGTCGAGAAGACAGGCTCATATCCTTCTGTTTGGATACTTTGGGCCCTGTGACCTTGATTCAAGATGCCCATATTAATATGCCGTACCGGTCCTGGGAACTGCGACCCCTCGGTGTGAACAGAGTCCTCATGACAGTGACCTCCCTTTTCACTGAGCTCCAGATACACATCAAGGTGGGTGACTTCACAGCCGGCCTACGGGTTGAATAGTGTCCACGAGCACACATGTGAAACGTCCCAGAGCTATGGCTTCTAAGTTCATGGGTAAATGAGCAACAGTGTGTAAGAGGGAAGTTATTAGCGGTGGCACAGTCACCCTAGCAAGCCTCTCCTGGGAATGGTGTCCTCACCCTTGTCTCAGGAGCTTCTCTAAGGCTTGTCTTGCTGAACAGGACTACTGCGCCTCAGAAAGTCCACAGCCTTGGAAGCCCCAGCAGAGAGGATGTATGCCGCCAGGCTGAGGGTGAGGACGGGGAACTCACTGCATGGAGGCCCAGGGCACTTTCTTAGGCAGCATGGAGATGTATTAAAACATTTATGGGTTACTTACAATCATTGGTGAGTTTGTGATATGCAAAATTAAGTTTTAAGAGCTGCAACCCTTCTGAATACAGTAGAAATACTAATAGACCATCAGGCTTCAAACCCACATGGGACAGGCATGGTGGCAGACGCCTTTAGTCCCAGCACTCGGGGCAGAGGTACCAGCCATCCAGAGCCATGCTGTGAGGCCCTGTCTCAAACAAGCAAACAAAACAAAATCTCTGTGGGGTCATAAGGTGACTTCTCAGGCCCTCAAAACACAGGCAGCCTGCCCTCGGTCTGTTAGGAATCATTGGCTTTCTTGAGAGTGTACAGGGTACTGCCCTTCCCAGCCCAGCCTCCTCACTGCCCGGCTCCCAACCACTCTGTCCAAGTGCAGGGAACACTAGTCTTAAGGCAGAGTGTAGATGAAAGTCATATATGAAGGGACTCTGGCCAGCTCGAGCATGGCACGCATGACTCTGGCAGGCCTTGCCCTTCTCCCCCGTTCCCTCTGCCTTGCTAAACATTGTTAGATTACATTCCTAAAGCTGGCCCCCAAGGGCTACTCCCTTATTCAGCCACTTCCTCCTCCTGAGGCTGACTGCCCTGGTCCAGGTATCAAAGTATTGAAGTCCAGCAATCAAAAGCTCTCTTTGGTTCACCTAATTAACATGCCCAATCAAAATATAGTGCCACGTCCTAGTCCATCCTAATATGGACCACACCTTTTTCTCCTCTTGGAAATCACACCTGCAAGGTCATTTGCTGCTGTTTTTCTGCCTGAGTCGGAAAGCAGTCGCTTTAACTTTTCTTCCCTGCTTGATAAAGGATCTTTGTGAAGAGAGGTGTTTGGGTGTGGTTTGTGCCTGGTCCTGGCTCAGAAGGGAACCCCTGCTGTGTTGGGGGGATCTCTTTCAGTAGAGTGTCAGGTTTTACAGGTTGTTCCATGCATGTGGCAATTAAGCTCTTAAATAAGATGCACCTGGTCCAAACTGATGAATGCTGCAACTGAGAAATGCATGTTGGATTTTGAGCATTTGGTATGAAAAAAATCAACTGACTTCATTTTTACACTGAGCAGATACTGACCTTTTAGATACAGTAGGTTAAATAGGCAGTACTATTAGCATTAAGAATACAGAAGTACAAACTTTGTATCCCTTCTAAACTGGACAGTATGCAGCATGTTAAATTTCACATATGTTAAAAACTAAGAATAAGTCCTAAAAGTACAATTATGATTGTTTTAATGGCTATTTTAATTCAGAATGAACATAGAGTGCTCTAACATTTTATAAAATAGATCTGAGACACCATTTCTAATCCCTCGAGTACCCAGAGAGAGCCTAGGAAGTTAATGAGCTGCCTGAGGTGGTGATTGGGTCCCTGAGGTGATGGGACCTTGTGGCAGGGCTTCAGATCAGGCCCATGGCAGGTGCATTGTTTAACTGTAGAGTGGTATATGATTTCAAAACCAGCACAGAGTGAGAGAGCTAGACCTGGAATAATACTGACTGGTTTCTTTTCTCTCCTTGAAATTTAGGAGAACCTCTGCATGCTGGCTTCAGTCAAACTGAGGAGCCAAGACCATCTGTCTCATTTAGAAGGGAAATGGATGACGCCCATACCCTTCATTCTGGCTATGAAGGAAGCGGGCCTGAACGTCTTCCCTTCTGTATACTCTCATTTTTATGTGGTCGTCAACAACAAGGCAGAGTGAATCTCTCTAATACAGTGGGATTAAACTTTGGGGGAGGGAAACCTAGGGCTCCGATTTAATGATCTTCTGAAGAATTCGAGTGCAGTGGGCAGACCTGCCATCCACACGGCCACTTTTAGCAAAAGCAAGCCCAGTTACTGCTCGTTGGAATGTCTTCCCTTTTCCAGTGCTGGGTCACAGTGGGGCTGTATTTCCTCACCAATCACACACAGACCACCAGCCTGCAAAGCCATTTCCTTCATGGTTTCTCAGCACAGTCCCCATGTCTGTGTGCTGTTCAGTGCTCCTCACAAGGGTTCAGTTCGCAAGGCCCTCCATGAATCTGAGGCTCCTAGAGAACAGGACCTTTGGCTGTTCCAGCAGCCAGCCTGGCACTAGAGTGCCAGTGCTTGTTAACAGCCCTGTAATAAACGAAGGCACGGGTGCTCTGGATCATGGAAGGCACGGGGTTTGTAGACAGGACTGTTCTATACCGGAGAGCACGCCTGCCTCTTCTGGTGTCTTTTCACCTGCCAATAGTCCTGTGACACTTGTCAATCATGTACCCAAGGCTATGGACATAAATACATAGGTAGAACAAGTCAGTTTTGTTTTGTTTTGGGTTTTTTCGAGACAGGGTTTCTCTGTATAGTTTTGGTGCCTGTCCTGGATCTCGCTCTGTAGACCAGGCTGGCCTCAAACTCACAGAGATCCGCCTGGTTCTACCTCCTGAGTGCTGGAACTAAAGACGTCACTGCCTGGCAGCACAAGTCAGTTTTAAGGACCCAGTGACCCAGTTAACTGTTGGCACTGCCATGACCCGTCTGTACAACAGTCCCTGCCCGGGAACTGACGTCCTGGCACAGAAAGGAGCATACCTGAAGTGGCTTACACATTAGAACGGCAAAAAGTGCTATGGGGAAAACCAGACCGAACCAGGTGAAGAGTGGGGCGGTGGAGTATCCAGCAGGCTGCTGAGGAGGGGGGCTGAACTCAAGGTGTGTGGGAGCCAAAGCTGCAGGGTAAGGGGTGCAGCCCCAGGGTCTAGGTAGAAAGCCCAGCTGCAGCCAGGCCTCCCAAGGGAGCAGCAGCCTGGCAGGTCTGCGGACGGCACAACAGGAGGCCAAGAGCCGAACCTGAGACTAGGAAGGGTGCAGTGTTGGCGTCAGCTCACAGAGGGCTTTGTGGACGCCGTTCTTCAGGGAGTGTGCAGAGGGAAAGCCATTGTCTGATTTTGAGACTGGAGTCCCAGAATCTGACTTAAATTGGAACTGAGGACAGATGGAGAGGAAGCTCGGTGTAACACTTGGAGGCTGACTGTGCTTACGCCCTCTGGACAGGTCCCCCTGGTGGAGATGAAGGCATATCGGCAAATGGCCCTGCTAAGCTCTGCTTTCGCATTTAGCTGGAGCAAGTGGAACATGGTCTGCAATTCCACGAGAGTTGTGTTTAGGGTACAGTATGCAAAACCCATAAAACTGCTTTGTCCTCCAAAGAGAAAATACTCAGGAATGAGTGTAGCCGCCTTCACCTCTTAAAGAGGTGAAATCGACGTTCAGAACGTTGTTTTGAAATTCTGAGTGTTGGCTTGTCAGCCCATTGAAAGATTGTGCCATCTTTACCCACTACGGTACCAAGTGCTGTGACCTTGTCTGTGTTGACCCCAGAACAAAGGGGAAATCATGTGTGTGAGTATCTGTGGTTCATGGCCCTCTGCAGAGGTCAGGCCTATAGCGTAACTTCCTGACACATTACTGTTGACATGTGGAAAAGCACTGTTTTCAAACTCAAGGTTGACGGAAGTTTTCTGAGTTAGACTGAACCTCACACATGCTGTATGGATGCTGCACCACTGAGTTATACCCACCCTACCCCTCCTGCCACAAGGCTCAGCAATGAATATGTCAGCATAAAGCAGCCATGTTTCTTTCTCCTGTTGCTCTGACTCTGAGAGTTGGGTCTAAATGGTGCATCAATGTCTCTGGATGGGGTATTCCACTGTCCCCTCAACTTCCAGAGCAGACCTGGGTAACATTTGTCTCATTAATAAATGGGCAGATGCTGCATACATACCAAAATGCATATAGCTTCATGGTTTAACTCAATTCAGAACTGGGGTGTACAGAGTGCTTTTAGCTGTGTGTGGAGGCGCACGCCTTTACTCCTAGCTCTGGGGAGGCTGAGCCAGCCTGGTCTATGTAGTGAGCCTGTCTTTATTTTTTTTTTCCAGACAGGGTTTCACTGTGTAGCTTTGGTGCCTGTCCTGGATCTCACTCTGTAGACCAGGCTGGCCTCGAACTCACAGAGATCTACCTGGCTCTGTCTCCCAAGTGCTGGGATTAAAGGAGTGTACCACCACCGCCTGGTGAGCCTGTCTTTAAGGCAGGTGATTGGGTGCTCAGCAGCTCCTTTCCTTGTGTGTGTTTGGGCATTCTCAGACTTCAGATTCTCTTTTCAGGTGAAGGAAGCCCTGGCCGAAGCCGCAGAGGACCGCCTCTGGAGCCTCCTCATGTTCAATGGTGACAGAGCACAAATGCTCAAGATCAGGGAAGACAGTGAGATGTTCTCCGAGGCCCTCCAGGAGGAAACTGAGTTTCACTCTACCTTGTACCACATGGTGAAGGACTTTGCCTCTGCAGAGGCGATGGAGAGGGTCAGGCATTCCAACTGCCAGTTCATCGACTCGGTGTGCCACATGCTACTGTCCACCCGGGTCCTCAGCTATTCCTAGTTTTCACAGCCTGTGGAAGAGCTGGTGGGACCCTGAGACCCGGGAGGAATCACAAATAAACTACAAAAATGACCTAAGTGCACTCTATATTCAAGCTTCACTGCATAAAGATTTGAATAGTTCTTTATTTTAATAAGTTTCAATAAAGTACTCTTTCTGTCTGTCTGTTTGTCTCTCTCTCTCTGAGAAAGCTCATTAAAATACCCTAGGTGGGGTCCCCTCCCTATGCTATGTAGTTGAGGAATTAAAATATCTCAGCTGCTCTGAGAACCCTGGCTTTGCATTATAATTACTAGAAAGTTACTAATTTATGAATCTCAGAGGAAAATGTTAAAATCAGAACGGGACATTCAGCCATGCTGCCGTCACACTGGCGGAGGCCCATTGTGCCTGAGTCTGGTAAACGGCCATAAGATGTGTTCTAGAGACATCCAGGAGTTCCCTTCCTGTGTGGGTGCGGCCTCCACAGCTGTCTGGAAGAACTGGCCTGTGAGGAAGCTCATCAAGGCTGCAAACAGCACGATGAAGACCACCGAGAGCCAGAGGACTCTGTTGGCCCTTCGGAAGGACGCCTGCAGGTGAGCGACCCACGAAGCCACCGAGCCGCAGCTGTGGGGAGAGTGAGCACACAGGGAAGGGACAGTCAGGGTGTGAAGCCTGGAGACGAGTTCCCCAACAAGGCTGCCTTAACTGTGTGTTGGGATGGAGCCTCTTGGTTTAGGGGACCGTTTGCTCCCCACCATGTGTAACTAAGAAAGAAAGGTGTACCCTCTACGATGCTGAGACCGTGACACAGGCACTAAGACATTTATCTTGTCCTTTTGTCATGTAAAGCAGGCTAGATGCACATCCCACGAAACCCAGTACCCTGCTGTGCTAAGTTTAAACTAGAGAAAACCAAAGTGTACGTGGGCTTCACTAGCCTCTGCACTAATCTGAAGGCTGTTCCCCTGGTCTCCACAGAACGGCCCATGCGAGGGCTTTCACTGGCTCCTTAAAGCAGCAGCTGGGAGAGCCTGGGAGAGCCTGGGAAACAGAGCTAGGGGAGCTACTGTAGTGGACCACCCCCATGCTGTGGCTCGTCTTAGTCCTAACAATCCCCATGCCCTCCATAAAGCAGTTTGAGTGGGATGGCTGGTCCTGTGTGGCCCATCCCGCCCTCTCCAGTGCGAGCATCTTACACTGCAGCGCTGTCCCAGGTGGACGGGCTGCTTCTCTTCTCAGAAAGGCTGGCCTTCCTGGTCCTCTCCACTGCCTCTTCTCCTGGCGGTTCAGAGGCATCTCTGGTTCTACAAGTAAGTTTTGAAACTAGTGACAATATGTTCGTTTACCAGACACTGCCAGTGTTTAGTATATAACTCAAAGTGCTCAAATTCTAAATGTTAAGTCACCAAACAGGGTAATTTAAAATAACTTCTGTGTAGAATGCTGACCAGTAACACCCACAAGAAAGAATTCAAAATTACAAGTCAGTCTTTAACCCTTCTACTCAAAGTGTGGACATATGTGCACATCTGTAGCATCCTTTAAGAGCATGCAGACAGCACATTTCCTGAGTGAACACTCAGTGCCCTGTCCTCCTTTAATGTCTTCTGTAAGTGGTCCATTGCACCTGTTCTCTAGCAGAGCTTTTCCCTTGTTCTGAAATGGGGTCTCATGGTTTGCCTTGGCTGGCCTCAAATTTGGAGTGATCCTCCTGTCTCTGCCTCCTGAGAGCAGGGGTCCCAGGCATGCTCTTCTGGCTTCTTTTGGATAGTGTTTTGCATTGGTGCTGACTTGGATTACAGTCGTTCCTCTACACATCTTAATTTTAAAGCATATGCAAATATTCTGAATGCAAAGCTAACTAAGGCAAACTAGTACTTAGAGCCCTGGGAAGTGACTAGACTGAGTGTACTGTAGATCATAACCTAGAGAGGGCTTCCTCCACCTAAGCAAACCTTTGTAACTAATAGCTCCTGGTTGGATATGAATTTTGAAATAGCTCACGATGCCCATGATTGCCAGAGGAGAGTGTCTAAGGAGGAGGGGGCACCATTCTGTGAGCTTCTTGGTCTCTGTCTTCTGTTTACAAAGACGGAATGAAGCCATAGCAGACAGTCTTTGAAGGAAGCACTTGGCATTTTCCCATGAAGCTCAGATCCATCACCTTAACTAGATGGGGAGCACATGCCACAGGATCCCAGGATGTGTGATACGTCTATGTCATCAGAACAGATCTGTCACCATAACTAGATGGGGATCACATGCCGCAGGATTCCGGGATGTGTGAGATGCCTATGTCATCTCTTCCTGGTGCTTCAGAGTGATCAAGTATGCTGGAGGTGCTCAGTGAATGTGTTTAAAGTCACTTTAAATGAGAAACCCGAGGGAGGTGTTTGAACAGGTGACAAAAACAGACCAGGTAAGGTGGAGCGAGGGGCGTGGCATTGAGTCACATCATCCTTTGCCTTCTACTTTTCACTATGGAAGCAAGTAGCATATTTAAACTCATTAAATTTGCTAAACATATTCTAGACAAAGTGGTAACACCTGTAACCCAACATTCAGGAGGCTGAGACAGGAGGATTGCTGTTTGAGGCAAGCTAGGGATACATAGCAGCCCCCCTTTGTCAAAAAGACAAACCCTGCTAAGCAAAGAATGAAATGACTCTCCTTTACACAAGACAGATGAACATGCATGTCACAAAGGGCATATGTTTTATATGGAAATGTTCTGTATTCATTTCTGTTTTTAGTACTCTACGGTGATAGAGATTTTACTTTTGTGGCTCTGCTGATGGGCACGTGTAGATGAATTTCTAAACAGTCTTGTTAAATAAAAAACACGGAGCCAGATATGGGGGTGAAAGCCTGAGAAGATCAGAGGAATAGGGACAGGCACAGCTAACCTTACCTCACCAACTCTGCAGCTTCCAAATGCGTCTTATTTCCTGCCTACCCACGCCTATATGCCTTGCTGTGCTGCCATCTGATCTGCTCTGTCTAGCTATGAGATATCGGTGAGGTGAGGTTAGCGTGTGGCTGTTCCTGGCACGCCCAGATCTGGGAAGTTCCAGAGAGTTATTTAACTTAAAACGTTGCCACCCTGAGGGCCAGAGGAGCCCCTATGTCCCCGAATGACCTTTATAAAGTCTTCCTCCTGACCCCCACTCTGTGTGCTTCAGCTCACATCCGGTCAACAGACACACTATGAGTCACCTACTTCAGGTCACACTTCGCATCTTCAGCGTCTGCCCAGGAATAGGTGCTAATAAATCGGTGTAGTGAGGGGCGGTGCTCACTCTGCTTTGTCCCCAAAATTCTCCTACAGAAAGATAACGGCCATACGTTAAGCAGAGCTGTACCTCATGTGCCCCCTCACCGCTTAAGTCAATGCAGAAATTGAACTGGCTTCTTTCCCCTTTCACATCCAGGTGACTCTCATCCCCCAGTGCAGCTGCCACGACTGAATACCAGCTTTAATGTCTGTGCTGCTCACACTCTGAACAAACCAAAGGTTATTAGGAATGCTCATGTGCTTGCCATGGGTGCCCAGAATGTGGGCACAAGTCACACCTACCAGCTGCTTGACCGCCGGCTGAATCTGTCGTTATTTTCCATCCCAGATACCTTCGGGGGTTTGAGAAATCATAAAATAGGAGTTCAGTGAAGGAATTACATTTTTGTCATAGAGACGAGTTTACTTCTGAGGCAGAGACATCCACGTGCACTTACCATCCCCACATTTCCAAGATTTCTGGGTAAAGAGGCAATTGTCACTCTTCGAAGAGATGATGGCTGCACACACAGGAGAGAGAAGTATAATTAGAGGATTCTGGGAGTTGCGTCCCCCGCCACGCTGCACATGCCCGTGCTCAGCCCTCAGGGAGCAGGTGAGCATTCCAGGATCTTGCGTGGAGAAATCACCTTTCAGAAGTATTGACCAGTTTATATTCTGTCTCCCTCAACCTTGGATTTATAACTTTCACTAGCTAAGAATGGTATTTTTTATCTGGGTTTCATTTATCTGTCTTCAGCGTATATCGAACACCTTTGCTGATGAATCACCATCTGCATGTTTGGTTGAGAAACATGTTTGTACTTATGACCATTTTCCTATGTTTTTCTAGAAGACGAGCTGTGTTGTAATTTAGTCAAATGTTTTCCTTTTCTTTTATCTTCGCTTCTATGCTTAGAAAATTCCAGCTCAAGAGGAGGTCAATATTCACCACACTTGTAGCTTCTCTTGCAATTTTCATGGAAATTTTTCATGGAACTTTTGTTAAATTTGCTTTAACTAATACACATAAAAAATTACACACTAATGGGGGAATGAGCGGCTTTGTTACTTATTCATGTGGTGTGATATCTAAATCGGATTAAACATCTCTCTCTCCTCAGACATTATGGTAAGTTTTTAAAGTTCTTTCCTGCAACTTTTCGAAGCATTTACCATGCCGCTGCTACTTTTAGTCTTCCACTAAGCAACAGCACCCCAGGGTTGCCACTTACCACCCCCCTGCTTGGGGTAACTGGCATCCTATGCGTAAATTCACTATTAGTGCAGGCAGCCCTCTGGTGCCAGGCTCAGCATTGCTTGGGGAGACCAAGGTTTTTAGACTCTGTCATAAGTGAGCTGTTATATTTTAACAAATCAATGTGTTTATAGGCCTTGAGATTTGCATAGGAAGAGTATTATATACTATTGTGTAGCTTAAAGAAATACCACTCAGGAGTAAAAATTATTTTAAATGAAAATAAACTAAAGGAATTACAATGGTTGATGTCCATTGTCAACTTGGTTGTATTAAGAAACTAACTGGGGCATTAGTGAGGAACATCTCTGGGTGTGTGTCTGCAGGGACCTCCCGACTGTGGGCCCCATCCCGTGGGCCTACATCCTGCCCTGCCTTCATCCTGTGAGTGGGCCTGCATCCTGCCCTGCCTGCATCCCATGGGCCTGCATCCTGTGAGTGGGCCTGCACCTTGCCCTGCCTTCATCTTGCTTTCTTGTTCAGCAATAAGACTTGATTCTTTAGATAGGCCTGGAAACACCCAGATAAAAAGGCTGTCTATCCCCATCTCACTTCCCACCAAGAACAAAGTGGGGGTGTTGTGGGAGACTTCAGGGCTGCTCTGTAGAAGGCAAGACTGGACCTTTTCTCTTGCTCTGTGACTTGGCTTTCCAGGAAGGATGCAGCCTTCCTGCATGCAGAGATGTTAGATGTGGTGATATTTTGTCTGTGTCCCCCAATAAAGTTTATTTGAGGATCAGAGGAAAAAGCCAGCCACTATAGTAAACACAGAGGTCAGGCAAAGGTAACAACACAGGCCTTTAATCCTATCACTCGGGAGGCAGGGATCTGTCTGGCTCTCTGTGTTCAAGACCACACTGGGAACAGAGCCAACCATAGTGACACACGCCTTTAATCCCAGCACTAACCATAGAGGTCTGGAGGTCTCTACAGAAAGACAGGAAGTGACAGAGCTGGGCAGGAAGAGGAAGTGATATAGCTCGGCTGAGAGAGTCAATGAGAGAACAGAACAGCAAGGCATATAGGCCTGGGTATACAGGAAGTAGGTCTCTTTGGAAGCTGTGGAATTGGTGAGGTGAGGTTTTAGCCTTGGCTTTTCCTATTCCTCTGATCTCTCAGGTTTTAACCCTGATATCTGACTCTGGGTTTTTTATTTAATAAGACCTTTTAAGGTTCATGTTACAGTTAGACCTCAAGGAAGGATCAGGGCCAGGGGCCGGGGGCAGGGGACAGGGGGACACATCTGTAGGGATCCTGAGTATCTGCTCTACCAGGGTCCGCTTCCCTGGACCCAGCTTTGGTTGAAACAAAACTGCTACCCTGGCTTTCCTCGTGCTGTGGGGCCGTTTTGATTGACATACAAACAACAGGAAAGGGAACGGTGTGCCTCATAAACTATAAACAGACACACGTGTATATTCATGCATGAGAATTTAAATTGGTTGTGATTTTCAGTGAAAGACACATACTTTCAAATACTATCTTAGTATTTCGTGAACATTTCATCAACATTTGTTAATTATGAAATCAGTAATTACCTTGGAATTTAGAGAAGATGAACGTTTTTTAATCTGACAGTCATCTAAAAGGAAAACATTTTCATGTTAAAATTTTCTGAGAATTATTTTATGTTTATATTTTTCCTGCATGTATGTCTGTGCATCAGGTCAGATCCCCTGGAACTGGAGTTGTAGATAGTTGTGAGCTGGGACTCTGCAAGAACAACTTAACCACGGAGCCATCTCTCTGGCCCCACATTTTTACATTTAAAAAGCACACATGCATTTTTGTCAAGTAAAGGTCAGAAAAGGTTTAATGAAAACTCTGCAGGAGACTAAGACAGGAGGATTGCTGTGAGTTCAAGGCCAGCCTTGGCTACAGAGTGATACTGTCTCAAAAAGCTAACAACAGAAAAAAAAACCCAAAAAATACCCCCTCCCCCCAAAAAAAAAAAACTCGAGAAACTACTGAGCAAGATAAATACGTTAATTTTATTCTACTTTTGTGGTACTGAGGCTTGAGCTCAGGGGCTTCCTACGTGTTTGGCAAGTGGTCAGCTGCTGAGCTACATCTGCAGCCCAACAATCTCCATAGCAACCATTAAGATACAGTCCTTAATGTTTCTGCAGTTGTCCACCTTGCCTGCTAGCATGCAGAAGAATATCAAACACCACTGCTCTTCACACGGGGAACATTGCTAAAGTGAGAATTCTGTTCAGAAAAGTGCATTCTGTTTACTCAAAGCTATTGTGGGGCCGGAGAGATGGCTCAGTGGTTAAGAACAGTGGCTGCTCTTCCAAAGGACACTAGTTTAGTTCCCGGCACCAACATGACAGCTCACAACCATCTTTAAGTCCAGTTCCAGAAGATCAGGTGTCCTTCTGGCCTCTGTGGGCACTGCATGCACATACATATAAGCATTTATGCCCATAAAATAAAGAGAAACAAATCTAAAAAAAAATGGTAAGATTTATAGAAACCCCATGTTCTCATCTGTCTTCCAATCCACCGGACAGCTTACTGTGCTAGGATCAATCACTCCAAGAATCCAGCTATGGCTGGTGAGAGTGGTTTGTTTATTACACATATCATGTGTGGAGAAAGAACCCGCTCTAACATGCCCCTGCCTGGACACAAGTCTATTTAATGTTCCGGACTGAGCACCATGTCTCTGCTCTAAATTGATGGAATGAATTTTGAATTTTGAGGGTATTACCAAAGGATCCTTTGTGCCTTTCTGTTTGTCTTTTCTTGATATTTTATATAAAGCCCAAGAATGAGGTATTTTCTAATATAACCTTAATGTAAGGATCTTATTCCACAACGTAGCAAGACAGTAAGAGAGCTTGAAAGAAGAGAATGTTAGGAAAGTATGACTATTATCTTTCAAAAAATAATCTATGTAGGCCAAGCATGGTGGTGCATACCTTTAAACCTAGTATGTGGGAGACAGGCAGGTGGATCTCTAAGTTTGAAGCCAGCCTGCATCCACATAGGGAGTTCTAGGACAACCAGGGCTATATAGAGAGATTGTATCTTAAAAAAAGAAAAAGAAAAGAAAAAAAAAACCCTAAAAACTAAAAAAACAAAACAAAACAAACAAACACACAAAAAACTCTGTGTGTGTATGTGTGTGTGTGTGTGTGTGTGTGTGTGTGTGTGTGTGTGTGTGTGTGATCACTTGTTCTAAAACTAGTTG